TTCAAGATACCATTAATGTACCCTTCTACAGTCTTTTTCGCTGACTGAGCTTTTGAAAGTCCCGCCCGTGACTCGTTATGAATTACTTGTCGATGAAGATTTGAGATTTCAACGACATCGTAATCAACAATTCCGAGGCGTCCTTTGGATGTCGATGACAATTAATTCAATAAAAAATTAAAAATCGAGTGAATTCTTTGGGCCGCTTAAGAAATCATACTACTTATCGAGAATTATATGATTCATCTTTTAAGAAACAAAATTACACACATACCTATCCCACACGCTGCAAGGTATATCGCAGCGGGAGCGCCTAACCCTCCCGCACCAACAATTAAAATTGAAGTAGACTTCAATTTTTTTTGAGCTAAAAATATTGAAATTAATGAATTTACAAGTTGAATTGTAAGATCAATATCCATAATCGAACAATATTTTGATTTTACCGGATAAACCAAAGCCTGCCAGTATAAGCTGCCTTCCATATCGAGCATATTCTGTAAGTGTTAAATTTACGCGGGCAGCAGGAGCCAACGGTTTGATAGTGGTTGTAGTTATATCAGAAGACTGGTTAAGGGAATATTTTGATTTTAAATGATTTAATTCTTGTTCTAGTTGTTCCACGCGTAGTTTAAGTTGTTCATTCTCCTTATTAAGCTTTTCATTTTTTTCAAGCACAAGCTGCAGGTCGCGAGAGTTTGTGGTTTCCATGCTTGAAACGGGATTATTTTCGACCCAAAATGACTCACTTGTGAGTCACTTTGTGAGTCACTCGAGTCATTTTTATTGCATGCATGCGTAGAACAAATTCTTATAAATGATTGGGTAGTTTAACTTCTCACGTGATTTTATTCTGAAATGGGGCCAAATTCCAGAACATCTTCTCGACAAGTATGTGGCAGTGTGTGTCAATTACAAAATTGGTGAACCATGCAGGCTGGGCCTCAAAAATTTCGATAAAAAACCGAGCATAAATGTTAGCTAATAATATACGCGCGTGTGTGGCTGTCAAGTTGTTATCGAGATCACGAATTCGCATTCCTCTTTCACAACCACTTTTTCCACTAACATTTTCCAAAAATTTCACCGTAATGTCTTCAACAAATCAAACCCACAAACTTTGTATGATACCTGGTATGTGTATCCTTTCATTCTCTCGCGTAATGCTATATTATTTCATCGTCCCTTTATGAAATTTGGTGCTTTCTCTCTTAGGCCCAGTCGAGTTTCATGAAGATGTGCTTGCTGCAATGTCTACGTTGTCAACCTCGCATGTTTCGGCCGATTTCATATCAATATTCGGTGAAAGCATTGAGCTTCTTCGTAAAATAGTTTTCACTGCAAAAGGACAGCCGTTTGTTGTTTCCGGCTCTGGAACGTTAGGTTGGGATATGGTTGCTTCCAATTTGGTGGAACCTAATGAAGATGTGTTGGTATTGAATTCCGGTTATTTCGGTGATTCTTTTAGTGCCTGGTGAGTTTCGTCATTAAGTTATAACTTCGTTGTCTTTTCTGATAAGAAGAATAACATCTAGTCATGTATGCTTGTTTGCGTATTTTTTTTAATATAGCATCGAGACTTACGGCGGAAAGGTTACGCAGATCAAAGCACCAATTGGCGATAAACCCTCACTGCAAGAAATCTCTGAAATACTGAAAACCAAATCCTTCAAAGCAATAACAATCACCCATGTAGATACTTCTACCGGTGTTCTTTCCGATATCAAAGAGATTGCCCAACTTGTGAAAGAGCAATCTCCAAAAACACTCGTTATTGTTGACGGTGTATGTTCAGTAGGTGTGGAAGAGATTCGCATGGATGAGTGGGGTCTCGACCTTGTGATGACAGCTAGTCAAAAAGCTTTGGGTGTTCCACCAGGTCTTACCATTGTGATTGCAAGTGAAAAAGCAATCGTTAGTATATCATTTAATTCCTTATTATCATTATCATTATCATTATTATTTCCCTAATTAGACCTTCATCCATTTCGCAGGAAACTTTTAAACAACGTAAAGCTCCTGTAACAAGCTATTTCGCTTCATGGAATAATTGGCTTCCGAGTAACTTTATTTCCATCACTAGAATGCATCTATGCTTTTACTTTTGCATTACTATTATACAACTATATTAATTGAATTGATGATACTCTTTCTTAATCTAGTAATGAATGCTTATGAGGCTCGTAAAGGTATGTATTTTGCAACACCTCCGGTGCAATTAATATACGCGTTAAATACAAGTTTGAAACAAATTACATCCGTGCCACTTGAAAAACGATTCGAACAACACAAAAAAATGAGTAAATACGTCAAAGACACGATTGAAGAATTGGGACTAAAAATGGTAAGAGAGCTATTGTGCGTAAAGATAATCATAAGCAATACCAATAATATGAAATTTTTGTATTTTTTTTACGAAGCTTCCAAAATCAAGAGACATGGCTGCAAACGGTATGACCGCAGTTTATTATCCGGCGCCTTTGACCGCCGCAGATCTTTTGCCTAAAGTCGCATCTAATAACATTGTCATCGCTGGCGGATTGCACAAGGCAATTGCATCGCAATACTTTAGAATTGGGTAGGTATTTCTGTCATTCCTCATCTTTGTCAACATGTCATTAATGTGATTATTTTTTCTATAGTCACATGGGTATTAGTGTAACGGAACCAGATAGAAAACATCTTGAAGAAACAATCTCGGCTTTAAAAGTCAGTTTAAAAGATTTGGGATATACAGCTAATTTATAGAATCTTAAAAACTTTGTACCATTATGTGGGATCAGTGGGAATTAACAGTGGGGGGGGGGGGGGGAATTAACTTTGGGAATAGAATAAAATGCTATATAGGATCTGTGTGAAATAGAATACATTCTCTATAAATTAATTGGTGCATGTCAATTTCTTAACGATTTGTAAATATTTCACATTTCGTATATGATCAATTTTAATCCGATCACAAATTCAATATCTCTTGTCAGCATACTGTACTTCTAGTTTGAAAACTTGATAAAACTAGATATATTGAATAAAAAATAACAATGCAATTTTTTTTATTATTGATAACGATAATAAAAATTTTTAATATGACCTAACTAAATATTTTAGAGATAAATTTCTCCATAAGGAAATATTGGAAGTTGTCAATACATTACTAAACTATGTTTCCCCATTGATTGTATCACTTCCCTAATCCGTTTCTTTTTTAAAGTCAGAAAAAAATTGAGATGGGTAATGAGTCATTTTTGCGAAACCAATCTTTCGCTTTTTTGGAACCATTTCATAAGTGAACCTAACATTCATTTAACATTGATCTATAGTTTGCTAACTCTAACAGGCAGTCACCATAGTCACCACTATAATGGAACCACCACCAAATTGCATTATTGGCGGTCTCTTAAAGGTTCACCGATGTTATCAATCGGACAGATTTTAGTTCGTAACGATCCGGAAGAGTGCGCCGACCAGGTTTTTCTTTTTGAGAATCTAGCGTTACCTGTTCGATTCCGGACCGTGTATCCTTCTTGTCGTGAGTGTGTATATGCATATGCGTTTTGTGAGTGAAATTCGAGGTCCAGAACAGATCTTACTCGATACGTATAATAGAATTTTTTGTCAGCAAACTTAGGTAATCAAAGTTTAGATTAACAATATCATTTATTTTTTCACTTTCTATGCAAAAAAATGCAAGAACACCAAAATATTTATGTAAATTCTATAATACAATCTACAATAATTGGTCCAATCGAATCCTCTGCCTCGTTAGAAGCAGACAAATCGAGCAATTCATTTGTCTATACAAGAAAATAAAATGTTTTTTTTTCAACCACTTTGAAATCTGGAATTCAACCAATCCTACGTCTGAAACTTATTCCCTTGATTTTCATTAGACGCTAATCGTATGGTAGGATTATTATTATGGTTATTATTATTTATATTCAAATAATCATATTCACCGACTAACTCTTTCGAATCATGGGAATTACTATTCGAGATGTATTTTGTGAATTTTGTAAAACGATGTGTAATTTTATGGTGTTCTATTTTATTATGTGCGTACGTTATTTTATGTTTAACAAAAAACGGATAAATTATTTAAACATATATAAATAGATAAAATGTGTTTATTTATAAAAACATAATTACCATTCTCGAAATCTCCTTGATTCATACAATCTTCACAAAGATCCACCTGGCGACTTGAGTTATTACAATCTAGACATTGATATCGTGTGCCAATGATTGGATCGATGAGACAACTATCACACTAATACGATATTAACATTCATGCCATCATTAATCATTCTTAAATCGAAATAAAGATCATAAGAAACCTCAATCAAATATTATATTTACACTGAATCCACGATGTATATTATCAATTACATCCTCCATCGAATCTTCAGCATTCCAATACGAAGACGATGAAGGCGATGGCCTCTCTTTGTCATTATTCATCACGATATTCTTTTCGTTATTATTAATTGAAATCATCATCTCCTTGATAACACTTTCATCATCACCTTCAGCCATATACACTGTGGGAGGTGGTAATGCTTGTTCATAGGCAATCCCAGATACTCTATCAATATTTCGAATTTAGCATCTCGGGTCAATCCTTTTTGGGAAATAATATATATCTTTATAGTCAATTTACCTCGGTCGCCTTGATGATTGCTCAACTGGCGGTTTGGAGGCTTTGACTTTGGATACACGGCCCTGTTTCTTTGGTTTGTTATTGCTTGGCGTATTTATTACCTATTATTAATTATTAATTAATTATTATGCTCGAATCGTCATGACACCCGCCCAGTATTAAGTCTTATGTACTTGAAGATTTGGCATACGACCAGGCACCGGCAATCCATTTTTAGCCAACTTTATAAAATATTTTTGTACTCGACTCGCAACCTAAATTATATGAAATTGTTTATTATTTGATAAAATTAAAAATCATGAGCGCCTCTTTTTTCACATAAATTTAAGACCTGTTTGGGAGTTCGTGTTCCTAATGCTTTAGATATCTTTTTGAATCGATGTGATTGTATTTCTTCGTCTGGATAAATTGCCAAGAGTTCTATCAATCGTTGCTATAGAAGAAGGCAAATTAATAAGATCGATTTTAACGACACACACATCGACAAATCAAATAAAAGTTATTTCAACAATACTTGTTCTTCATCCGTCCATGGAATATTATGATTATTGGGTTTTGGATCTAATGTCTGTTGCAGATTTAAAGAAATTAATATTAGTAGAAAATATCAAAATTAGAAAGCCATTGATTTTACCTCTGAATTTGAGTTCTGATTTACTTTGGTGGATGCAGAAGATAATGATGTTTGTGGCTTTTGAGTATAATTTACTATGCTACCCTTTCCTCGTTCCATGCTGTCGATTTCTGCTGTATTATTATTAACTTCAAGTTCACCGCTACCATTAGGATTCCGTGCTGAAGAATCCCTCCGTCTAAAATAATAACACGAAGTGACGCATTTATTCAGTATCCCAATTTTGGATGGTAATCACGTCGAATAGATAACCAATAGTTGACCTTTTTTTGATTCCATCAGATGACTCGACTGTGGATCTTTTTGCACCTTTGCTATTGACTTCGGCTGGAGATAGAAGAGCACTCAACATCTTCTTGCCTTTACCCTTGCCATAAGGAACGGTCGAAGAAGCGGCGGTAGAAGCAGTGGCAATAGTATTCCTATTACTTTCATCTCCGTAATTTGATAATCCTGTAGCTGATAAAGGAGTTTCCGCTTCTGATTCTCTATCTGATCCTTCATCGGCTGGTGTCTCTTCAGGGTATAACCCTAATTCAGCTGCTCCCTTTAAAACTTCTTCCATCAACTCGGAAGAGCGCGCAAGACTAGGAATCTAAATGTTCACAAAAGACAATTTAATCTCTTATAAAATGTTTTAGAATTCAATGGATCAAAGAGATCTATGGGACAAAACTAAACCTTTGATTTGTATTTTATTCCATATGGCGTTAATTTCGCATCATTTGAAGTTGTACCGTTTTTTGATGGCCAAGTGTATTTACTCCATTTGATATTGGGGCATTTAAAGACAATTTGGCGTTTCGGAAGTTTTTTATTTGTCTAAGGATAAAATAGATAGATAATCATAAATCAAACTTATCCTTACAAACATGTATACATATGGAAAATTACACGTACCCCATCGCGTAACTTTTCGACAAATGTTATGGGGTCCTCTAGAGCCTCGAGTTTTCGTTTTTTCAGTGTAGCAATGTCATCGCGTGCACGTTCTTCTTGATATTTGAGCACATTAATGGCACGTGTTAACATTTCATAACTAGAGAGATGAAAAATTTCACGTACTTTGAGGAATATAAAAATTTTACTAAAGGTAACGTGTTCACTTGGTTAACAGAAGCTTACTCTTCGTTAGTGTCGAAAAAATGTTCTTCTGATGCCTTGTTCATTTTCGAGGTCTAATTTACTACATATCTTTTCTATTATAGTACCATTTAATATTAAATCCCGTGATGATATTCCGTGATGATATTTATTAAAGTGACGTGTGAGCAACTATTGCATATAGATATTGATAACCATGGTAAGTATTTTCATGATTGAAGTTTTACGAGACTTTAAAAGCGTTATCATGAATAATATTTTTATTTAAAATTAATACTAACATTATTATTTTATTTGTTCATGAAAGGCAGGAGCTTCTGCTAAAAGAATAGCACAAGAAAACACGAAAATCTTAAAAAACCTTAAACACGGTTTTCTTTTAGCAAACGTAACGATCGATAAATTTTCATTCAAAGTTTTCCTCTCTTGTCTTTCATTTATTTGAATAATGATGATTGTGAAAAAAAATACATACAGGCAGTCTATTTCTTCTTTCGAATCATATATCATAATAATACCTTTACTTTATGGATCGCAATAAAATATTTCGTCACCTTGGCGATCTCATTATTCCTTTGGCAACAATTGCGTACACATGGTTTACCACGATATAGCACATATGATGGATCAGTCGAATGGTCCGGTGAAGATTTAAATTCTGAGGGATTGATCGCGTAGGGTTCTTCTCGTGGCTTTACTTTTGCTGCTTTTTTTTTTTACAATTTGATTAATTTGATTTTTTTTTTTTTTTGATTGATTTAGATACATGTTTGACATTATCTACATCACGTGGTTTGTGCATTTTTTTAGCATGTTCTGGGAAGCGGCTTGGTGGATATATTTAGTGGTAGGTTAAATAAAGATTGCATTTTTCGTGTTTTTAAAACATAGAAATTATTAACTATATGAGGACCTTATCAAATAGATTCCAGCATATGCATCATACAAACTATGGGCAAGCTTTATACAACCTTACTTGTTCTCATCATCGAGTGAAAATAATGATTATTCTCAAAGTAAACGCCAACAAAAGAAAACATTACGTCAAGAATCTGGGAAAGGCGGAGGTGCGAAGTCAAAAATCAAATATCGATGAATATGACATTACACATAAATTATTTGTGCCATTTTTTTTTGTAACGTTCATTCATTATACATGTTCACTATTTGACAACGAGAATAATAATATTAATATTTAATATTAATAATAATAATGATATGTAAGCAAGTTTAAATGTTATATAATTAATTAATTTAGAATTGAAAAGAAACAGAACATTTTTATCTATAGAACCAATAGAAATACTTTGATAATAGAGTTTAGCCCTAGAACATCTATATTATTAGAATGTAATTTGATTGTCTCGAATGAGACGCGCGTATCAAAAAAAGAAACTTTTATAATGTAAAAAGATTCGAAGATATAAATGACCCAAAAAGAGCCTTTTTATAGAATAACGATTAAAAATATAGATATATATATATATATATATATATGTACATATATATATAAATATATACTTTTTTCTAGCGTATCTGTTGAGAAAAAATGTCTCGCATCATTTTATTTTTATTATCTATTGTCATAGACGTTGACGAAAGACAATGATAAAAAAATAGAATTTTTCACCAACTATCACTGTAACGTATAAAAATGTCGACAAGGGACACGGGGTACTTCTAATTCGGGTAAATTTCATTGAAAACTTTTTTTTTTAGTGATAGATCAATTAAGGTTTTACCTGTAAAATCTCTCATCATTCGTAACTTTAAAATTTAAATGTAAGTCGACAAATTTGGAGAATCAACACACTATGATGGACAGCTTTGTTTGTTTTCTTTGACTTTTAAAGAAATTCTCTATTATAAGGGAAAATGAAAGTTTCCTCTTGCATCAACCCTGTGATACTACTTACTTATACATGAAGCGGAGAAGGAAAAAACGATAGCATATGATTAAAATGAAAGGAGGTGACACTTTTTTTTTTAAATAAACGGTGATTTTCCTTCACTTAAACAATAAAAAAGGTCAATTTTTTCAACATGAGGGAAATCGACAATCTTGTCGCTTTAACCCCTTGATTGCAAAATCTGGATTATCTATTAGAAGGGAAAAAACCATAAAAAAAAACCAATTAATAATGACTTGGCATTTTCAAGCTCTTCGTGCTATTCATCCACTCACTTTCTCGGTGTCAGTACTTATCATCGTATTATTGAGTAGGTGGCTTGATAGAGCACATGTCTTCTATAATGAGGGAAGAGCGTATCCAGCCGATGTTTATTATACCTTTGTGTTGGCCTGTATCTCTACTTTATTGGGTACGGGTTTATGTATTCCAAAAATATCACGCACTTATGCGTTTCGACCCCCCGTCTTGTTCACGTTTGGATTGTTAATGGTTGCCTGGTTAGCTGATGCGATTGCGATTGTCGCAAGAAAAGATAATGGATCAATAATGGATAAGGCATCAATAACGGATAACGAAAATATTGTCGATGACGACGAAGATGAAAGACGTAATGAAGCTGCAAGGATTGGAATTGCAGTTATGGGTTTGGCATGGATAGAATTCGTGCTTTTTGACTTGACGCTTTTTGTAAAATACTTGGTGCAAAAGCGTCGTCGTAATAAATTTGCAGACACGAAAAATCTTGACAGCGATGCAAAAGAATTGAGCATGGATTTAGAAAATGGTGATGTTAAACCAGGTGCTTTGATTGTGCAGGAAAATATTGTGGAACAAAAAACTCCACTAGCAAATCAAAATGAAAATAAAAATGGCAACAACGATAAAAGCAACGATAACGACGCCAATGCCACCGACGACAACACCAAGGACATAAAAAATAATGACGGTGAAATATACGCGGAGGCTCGATATGATTTCAAATATCAAGAGGGATCCAATTTCTCTTTCAAAGTTGGGGATAAAATCAGAATTACGAAAAAGACAAATAGTACTAAAGATTGGTGGAAGGGTGAAATCAATGGAAAGGAAGGCGAGGTATTTACTGTTTTTACATTACTAAATTGTAATTTTTGGCATTCATTAACCGGCATTACTATTATATTAGTTCCCGGCCGATTACGTGAGATTATTGTGATCCGAATGAATGTAAAAACGCACGTATTTGCAAAGATAAAAAATTGGTTATTCTCTATAGAATATATCATATATATATATTTTTCTCTACACATACATATATATATATACACGTGTCAATCAAAGTACATATTAAATTTTTTTTCTTTCAATTTTATTTTTTATTTTCTTCTATCAAATGAAATAAACCGGAATTGTCGTAATGTTGTAGATTATATAATAGTTGTAAAATTTTGTATTCTTGAAATTAAAATTATCTACCAGTATAAAGTGGTTTTTTTGCGCGAATTCATTTTTTTTCAAACTTAAGTGCATGCAAAGATTATTTATTAAGATCATAGCAGAATTAACGATGTGATACGACGAGTTTGTGGTTTGAAGTTTTTTCCAGGTATGGTATTGTTCGCTGTTTTCGGCCAAAATTAAGAAAACAAGTTTTATTTATAATTTTTTAATTTATTCATCTAAAAGGAAGACTATTAATTGATTTTTATTATTAGAAGGAAGACAAAGCAAAACATTTTGATTAAGATATATATATATATATGAGAATTTATAAACTGATGCTAATGTCTTTCCCTTTAAGAAGAGTTTCAAAATTAAAATCAAAAGAATGAAAAAACTTCCACCCGCATCCCAAACCGAAGATAAATATCAATAATACAAACGTCAAATAAAGATTTGAGATTTTAAATTTCTAACAATAATATAAACTTATTTAGCGGTTTGTTGTGTTTCAGTATTAGCCTCGAATTTATCGTCGCTAATACCTGTAGACTTATTTGTGGGATTTGGCAACAACACATTATCCGAAGAAGTCGTAGCGGTGTTGGTGGTGATAATGGCATTGGATATCGAAGATGAAGATGGGTTGACTTTTTCACCAGGGTCTTCTAATTTTGTATGAGTTGAACTCTCTGGAAGAGCGTGATTATCTGTCGTTATCTCCATAGGAATGGGCGAGTTGACCTCTCGTGGATGATCTTCAAAAAATTTAGCTGATAGGGCACGTGAATATTTGCCTTTTCTGGGCCGATATTCCGTAGTAAATTTTGCACGATACAGATCCAATGCTTTTTGAAGCAGTAACTTTTTCTCATTTAGTTTGTTTGCGTTTAAAAATGCCTATGCGTTTTAATTGAGAAGGATATGGTAAATATTTGTTATACAGACCACAGTAATCAATTAAATGAATCATACCAATTTCCAGCCTGTCTCGTTACACCAATTTTCCAATGCCCAATTTGTTCCCTTGTAACTAGCTCGATCAGATAAAACTCGAGGGAACACGCTATTCTTCCTTTTAAAATCCTCCGAGATATCAGCCACATTCACAGATTCGATATCCGCTCGAATACGAATCTTTGTGGAAACCCCTTTTGAAATTGTATTGACGGATAATTGTTTAGTAGCGCTGCGATGTCTTTTTGAAGACTTGGCGTCAGGATTTCCATCAAATGAATCACTATCACGAGTAGCTCTTTTACGTAATGTCCCATTTATTATCTTCTCGTTTCTTACCACCCTTCGTGATCTCATGTTTGGATCACGATTACGATAGCTATCAACTGCACGCTGAAGTAATCCTCTTTTCCCTGCAATATCCTCTTGATTCAACCAAGCCAATTTCCATCCCAATATATTACACTCATTCTCGTAATGCCATCGATTTCCTTGATATTGCTCCTCGGGACAATGCGCACGTGGATAAAGACAATTTTCACGCTTAAATTGATCATTTATATCACTTATTTCGACACTATTTAAATCAATTCGTATACGATACTCTTTATTGTTCCCTTTGACAGAGTACGTGAATACCACGTATGGTATGCCATCGCGGGTCTCTATGACAGGGTCAGTCGCAGGTAATGCGTGATTTGGTGAAGGGGTGAAATCCGATCGTTTTATATTACTATTGGGCGGGTGTGTTGAAGGAAGCGATGTTGCTAGTGATGAAGAAGAGGGTGTGGCTGTTATTGTGGAGGAGGTTGATGGTAAGGATGATAATTGATGAGAATCTTGTAGTGGGGTGATTGTGATTGGGGATTTTTGTTTAGTAGAAGTCGAAGAGAGAAAAGACGGAGTTGACCCTGATGTAGATGAGGATGATGTTGGTGATAATAATGTGGTTGTTGGTGACGATAATGGTGCCTGTGATAATGATGTTTTATTTAAGGGAAATTCCTTATTTTGTAAGTGTTGTGGTGGTTCTTGTTTAAGATATTCTTGGTGAGGTAGTTGTTGATTATTATTATTATTATTGTTGTTGTTATTGTTGTGATGATGATGTTGTTCAGGGTGTCCATGTTGATCTTGGTTTTGTGCTAGTTCAACAACATTATTATTGTTAATAATAACGGAATTAGAAGTTGATGCTGCAACACCGAATGATTGGACGGTGTCACGGTCTTTACTTGTTTGTGGAGATGATGAAATATTGTTAAATTGAGGTATTGAATGGTTAGACGATGATGGAAGAGGGAGTGGTTGGGGAAAAGGTGAAGAAGTATTAAGGGTGGCAGAAATTTCCATGGAATTACTCGTAGAATTATTAATATTGGTGGTGTTACTAGTGTTATAATTATTACTATTGTTGTTGTTGTTGTTGTTATTGTTATTATCACTGTTTAATTTCTTCTGCTCTCTGGCCTTTCGCCTCTTTACACGTTGTACTGTCTTTTCTATCGAAGAAAGTTGGTCAAGTGTAAGAGTCGATAAGAGTTCTTCCGTATGTTGGTCAGGCCGAAGAAGAGAAGAAATTGTGAGGTGCATAGGTTGAAGAGGCTGCTGCTGCTGCTGCTGCGAAGTCCGGTGGTGAGTGAACGCTGAAGCTGGTGGATAACTCAATATATTTCGATTTTGAGGTGACGGAGGCGATGGTGTCATCGTCGCTGACCTTGGACTGGAACTGTTATTATTAGTCCAACCTGTACCTATTTGAGTAGCAGCAGTGGAAGGCCTTGGCGCCTCAAGAGTAGAAGGAGAGTTGAAACTCGAATCTGGATCAAGAGCAGTTGGCGGAGTAGGTGGTGAAGAGGTCTTTAGTGGTTGTTTTTGCTGTCTCTCTGTTTGTATGGTTGATCCGCTCTGTTGTTGTAGAGGTTTAGAAGTGCGCTGCATTTTTTTTTTACTCTCGTTTCTACTTGTTTAACAACTCTCTCGTGTATGTTGGCGCGCGCGACAGGGGTTTGTCTAATTAGAATTTTTGTAATGTACTCGCGAGAATTATCACCGATTTTATGGAACCCCTGAGTGTTCTAGATGCGCTTCGACGAGGGTTACCTGTTTACTTGATTTATCATCGGTGTGTGCTGATTCAATCAGCGACCACCACCCCATGCGATGGGAATGTTACAGCTACGACAAACAGGTGGATTTTGATTGGTTCCCTGAAAATTTCCTTAATGTGCAAAAGAAGACCCCCCCCTTTATTTAGACATCTAGACAGGTTTCCTGGACAGCGGAGTTATTTAAATTCATTCATTGATTCTTGCTTACAGAAAAAGAAGCTCTAATTACATATTTACTTTGTATTAAACACTTATTCTCACACGGTTATTTATAATCGCGTTCCAAAAAGAATGAGAAGTGTTTTTAGGAAGCATAACCCCATAGATTTATTTCACACAAATAAAACGTACATACTACTTTAGCTGAAACTTGATCTATTTGGTAATAATACAATAATAATTAAACAACGGAAAATATCCTATTGTTTTACAAATCTTTTTATAATTAATAACAATAGTGTGATAATGTGTCTAAAATTTTCTTTATGTGTTTATAATAAGTAACACAAGAAAAAACACAACCTTTCAAAAATTTCAATCAACCAACCAACCAACCACCCCAACCCCATCCACATCCCATGTATTGAATGGCTGGTTGGTTGGCTGGTGTCGGTTCGGTCCGGTTGAGTCAGTTGATATAACAAATAGAAAATCTTTCCCATATTTGGGACTATTGTATAAATCTCTTTGATGATCAAATGATCAAATCAAAAGTTGGGTGATAATTTTTGATGATAAAATTTTTCGCGATACAGATTAAATTAATCCAATCCGGGGGGACTTGGACTTGTGAACACAAATTCAGGTTAATCCGTTTCACTCAATCCAAGAGGATGGTTTGTGGGGCAAAAAAACCCGTCATTTCGTATCGAGTCTTTTTACCAGTAAATCGAATGGGATTTATTTTTATTGACCGGTCTCGATCTGTTCTATGAAATACCACATGACAGACCGCAAAAAATTATGCGTGATGGCTTTTGCAAGATCTCTTGCCAATATTGACAATGTTAAATTAATTGGACGATTACAATGAGCTGATGATGAAGAATCATAGAAAAGAAAGATCGCCTTTATCCCGTCATTATCGTGATAATTCATCGTCCAAACAATAAACAACGCGCGCGAGACAAGAGCAAAGCGATATAAAAAAAGCAAAATCAGATGAATTAACCGATGGATAAAGTTACACCAAACAAGAAAAATTCGATAAACCCAGAAAGCTGGTAGATCCCAAAATAAAATAAAGGAAACTCGATTTACCAGCCATTATTATTGTTGTTGTTTCGTTTGTTTTAATGAAAATGTAAATAAATACCCGTAATAATAGAATTCATTAGGGACGTTCATTATACGTACGTAAAGAAATGACAATTTCAAATAGTTGGAAAAATAAATAACAATTAATTTAGAGAACGGGATTCAATTCGTAAAAAAAACGTGTTTCTTAATCATCATTTTTTTAATATCTCTCCTTTTGATTATACGCGCGTAATGTACGTAAATATACTGTATGCATATATACTTAGATTAAAATTTTTTTTGAATCCAATTTGAAATTTCTTATTTGTTTTATTTGTTTTTTGATCAACGTATTTTATTTTGAATTAAATTTCGATATATATGTATATATAAATATATACGTCATTTATATAAAGAGAGATATATATATATATACGAAAAATGAAAAACAAGTAAAAAGCCAGAGACAACATTTAAAAAAAAACTTAGTATTTTATTTTGTATTACTAGTATGTCTAGTAAATTAAATTAAAATTAATCTAATAAACTAATTAATACAATGCACAATGCTAAAAGAAACAGGGTTAATATAAATTATTTATTTTTGTTGTTCTTGTCAGAAAAAAAACAATTAGAATAATAATAATAATAATAAATAATAATAATAATAATAATAATAACGATGACAAAAAGCTTTATACGCACGTTAGATGTGTTTTTTACCAGTGCACAAAATTTTGAGTTTGGATATTATAATATATGGATGTGATCATCTATTATTTATATAAAGCCTAATGCCAATTTGGAAGTGTGACCTTAGTTGTTGAGTAGACGGTGCTCTCTATATGCGCTTCTCTTAGTCTATTTAATTATATTCATCCAATTTGCTTATATATTTACTATTATTTTTTACCCCTTTCTTTTAGTCACTAACAAAAAAAATTTATCAACATCCCAAACACTTTTTTTTCTTTTTTTTTCTAATCAATCAGGATCAAAAAGTGGATCGTCAATCAAATTTAATACACATCCAACATTTCAAAATTCATCCCATCAAACTAGTGGTAAAGTGCAACTTTTTATCAAAGTAACGCTTTACCTTACCAGTTCAAATTTCACACTTTTCCTCGCGACCGACTATTCTTCGTCCTATATCTTCTATTTCTCTCTCGTGCTTCTAGAGATATTGAAAACGTCAAAATAATTTTTTCTTTAAAATTTTCTCCTCACGTCTTCACCACATTACGAACACCCTCTATCTCAACATACAACGACGAGGTTTACTAATTTTAACGACGAATTAGATATAAGATGTTGCATTCACAGTTTAATACAACCTATGTATTTCCCGCAGAGACATCTCAGTCAGCCATTACTACAGGTAAAAAAAACCCCCATTTGTAAAAGTTGCGCGCCAAAAAATTTATTTGACGTGTCACGTAAAAAAAAAATTAATTCTTATCAAGACAAAATGCCGGCAAAAATAAACCAAATAACTAAAATAATATTATTAACCCACAAAAAAAATTTGATAAACAGAGTCACACTTCGAAAGTTTACTAGTACCTATAAACGCGTTGGGCGACCACCAGCCCACACAACTGCTCTCACCCGCTCCTTCGTCGCCAATCTCAAATTTTGAATTACGCGACTCACCGACTGCCGATGAGCTGGATATCCCAGAGTTCTTCCAATACAGCAAGGAAAAGTATGAGAGTGCAAAGTCAGGGAGTCGCAGGCGACGTAAACCAACACGTGATGATTGTGACACCGTCTCATCTTTTGACGGAGATGAAGGAGAGGATGGAAATAGGCAAGTCTCTCATCGCTTGCCTTTTACCACGCCACCAATTTGACGTTCATCTAGATGCGGATTATCACACCGCTGGAATAATCATCATTGACATCTATAATAATAAATAGTATTTTTTTATTTTCACTTATTATTTGTATTACAGTGCTGTTTCGCATGCAGAATATCGTCGTCAGGTCCATATTCAATCTGAACAAAAACGACGCGCAGAAATCAAGGATGGGTTCGAGGAGTTACGAAGACAATTACCGGCCGGATGTAATGGTCGTAAGATGAGCAAAGCTGCTCTTCTTCAACGAAGTAATGAACTATCTTTTTTATCACGTGTACATGGGATTATCAATCTATCAGAAATTGATGAAATTATTTTCTTTTTCACCCTCGTTCTCTTGAACTTAGCTGTGACTCATCTAAAGAATATGAGAAATCGAGAAACATTTCTCGTTGACGAGGTTACTCGTCTTCATCACATTTGCACTTATTTGAACGCGGAACTTGATAAGGAAAAGAAGTTTGTATTAGATGCGGTTATTTATCTCTTGTGGTCATTAAAAAATATGTTTCGCGATTAAACCTTTCCGCGTTCCCCATTTTCATATATAGAATGAACGCTGTATACAGGCAAAAAGAAACACTTGACAAAATTTATGGGATTGGTCTCTGAAGTTATTTCGATCGTCGTGCGTGGATGATAGCACTCATAATGTTTTGGCTTAGTTAATAATAACAACAAAATTAATAGCGACACAAGCCATTGAAGATCCAAAAATATAATGATAAATAGTTTGTTTTTATTCCTTGGCTGAGATTTCATGGGCCAATTCGTTACCACCACATCATAATCATCATAACAATCTATGCATTTATTCTTGGCTTTCCTTTATCATATACAAAATTTGATTAATGATTCTTTATAATTTACCACATGTGTTGTATCAATCAATCGCTCGACTGATTGATCAATCGACGACCTCTTCGACAAAAAAAAAATTGATCAAATTTTGTAAACTTTTCCAGCATACTAAAACGTGTCCTTTTAACGTACAAAAAAAATATAACAAAAAAAATTTATAAGCCAACAACAAATAACATTTTTCCCCTTCTTTTCTTTTTTTTGGTTTTTCTTTTTTCTTTTCAACAAAAATTCTCTTTTATTTCTATGCATCAACAACAACAACAACATCACCACAAAAGATAATAATGACACGCTAGTTATTTTTTTATGTTCTTCAAAGGACGGGTTTCTTTTTCTCATCATCGTCACGTCATTCACCCTAGCATCTATTATAAATATAAGATTGATCGCTTCGTCCTTTCATATCGAATTCCTTTCATTGAGACAATTGGATATTTCTGCACTCGTGTGCGATTACTTATAATTGGATGTTGATTTAATTTTTTTGGAATATTTTCGCGTTTCTTTTGTTTATATTTTTAATTTCCCTTTTTTTCTTTGGTTTTTTTGCAATTGTAGATTTTTTTTTCATTTTTCCTCATATCGACATTAAATCAAATCTGTAGTTTTTCGGTTGAGGGATCAACAATGGTTTATTGACAATCTTGGTTTTTTATATACATTACATATATTTGTTGGCGTCTTAAAACATTTTAGTGTAGTCCTCGTGTATTATGTAATATTACCTGAGCTGGAAAAGTAAAAAAAAAAAAAAAACAACACAATGAAGAGCTCGTGCAATCGGAATCATTCTTTCAATCAACTAATTAATATTGAACTTCAAAAGTGAAATTTCTTGTATGTACATGTGAAAAAACTTGAGAAAAAATTACCCGAAATATGGTCCATCGAAATATTTCATAATGATGACTTGATAGTGGTAAAAATCACGCACGTTATCAACTGATCAAGTTTGATGAAGATCACAATATTTTGCGATTGCGGCTAAACATGTTGTGCGCGTCTATAATAATAACACACGCGCACATGCATTGTTAGTTAAATTGCCTATATAGAAAACACATTTTTTGATAAATTACCTTTCCAAAAAGCGTAGTTTTCTTGTTGCAAGAATGGTGCCAATTGTGTTCACACGCGCTTCCATTTGCTATATTTGTTTAGAGAGTTAAAAATTCAATTATGAATCCTGTATTTAGTTTCGGTTTGCCACGTTCCCTCGTGTGTTCTGCTCGTGGGTTTTTCACAATGTTGTGTGTTTGTGCAGCGTTTTGTGATCGAATTACGACACAATAAGGGTATATTAAAAATCACATCTGGGAGTGTTACATTCCACCATGAAAAAAAACAAACATAGAGGTTCAGGGACTGATGACACGGATATACATTTCCAACAAACTTTTGTGTCATAGAAACACACCAACCTGGGACTTTCCCAAATATGGAAAATAATTTTCATTAAATGCGCTGTAGATTGTTTAGCTAATTGCCTTTTGTTAACAAACATTGTGTGTGTTATGTTTTTATATATTTGTGCATTTCTTTTGTTTGTGATTACATGTAAAAAATACGCGTCGATTTCTTTTCTATGCATTAATTAACCTTTATATTATGTGTGTGTGTGCGTGTGTGTGCGTGTGTGTGTGTGTGTGTATGTGTGTGTAATATTCAAGCTAATAATAACAATCAAGCATCAAATTGCAACAAAAATGATATCTTGGAATAAATGAATTGATTTAATTTTCCTCTCCGGGGCAATTCACCCGATTTTACCGGATCTAATTCACTAAAAAGATTTTTTTTCAACTTGCGGATACTTTGACTTTCAGAATTACAAATCGCGAACACACTGGCATAGGTAAGAAAGTCACGAATTTTTAATTTCTAATATATCATGTATGTACGTGTGATGGATGTATGTATGTATGTATGTATGAGTTAGATTTGCGAAACGAACATTTCGGGATTTTTTTTCTCGAAATTTGGGAAAAATTTAAAATATTTAAAATTCGGTAAATTAAATACATTGAAATAAATTAGTTTTTTATTGCCAGTTGACAACCCCATCATAAAAAACGTTTAGCGCTGATAAGTTGTGATGTGTAGGTCAAAACCTAAGCCTCAATTTAAGAGACGTTGTGGAATACTGTAAACTAGTTTTTAAATTTTGAGAACAATAGACGTTCGTTACTTATTTGATTGATACAATAAAGTCGAGACGACGACGTACAAAGAGATTACATTTTCAAATTATAGTAATACAAGACACTGAAAGAAAAGTGTACAAAATGTGAAAGTGACCAAGGCGGACATGTGGCGCCGGTACCACATGTGTTTTTTTTTACACTCTCTTTGTCTTGGCATCAATTGATTGATTGTTTGTTTGTTACCAAATTGAAACTTAAAACTAATCTTTGATTGCGATTCCCAATAATGATTTTCTTCTTTGATACAAGTAATACAGTTATTGAGGCAAGAACATTGTAAAGAAGGGTTCTATGTTAATCAGATTTAGCAGATTGGTATGTCACGTAATCGATTTTTAATATTATGGATATCATCCATGTATATACGGCCGAAAAAAAAAAACCATGTACTCATTAAATAACACGTACACAAATAAACTGCCGGTTGAACAATCAGGTATTATTGGAATGACGACCAATGACGAATTATTAGGTTATATTTAATAATGATCTTAATATCAACAAATCGTGCGCATGTATCAAGAGAGAGAGAAGACACGAATTATATTTCAATCAATCGTCTTGGGAACAATTTTGGAGTAGCACGATTTTATGGGTCGGAAGAAAAAGGGAATACGAGAAAGTTACCCATCTTTATTTATCTCTTATTAATTTTGTATTTCGTAGAAGAGGAGGCAAACTGCAAAGCAAACAGGAATAAATGCTCACACCAAAAAAAGCCATTAAAAACCTTAATATAAGCAAGTTTGATTTAATACATAGTATCGTTTACTGTGCGCCGAGGCTTTTAATCTTGTTACTAGTATTTTTAATTTTGCCTTGGTTGGGGCGCGTACAAAGGAAGGAAGGTTGGGCAAACAAATTGTGGCAGCGAATAGTAAAGAATCTTAAAGTCATTAGGCTCTTACAAAATGATAAATAAGACTTGTTGTGTGATGAACAAAATGATTACGTGCTGCGCGCCTTCGTGAATTCGAGGAGATCCGACTCCGCTCCACGGTTTTCCCGAAAATTCTTGGTCAACAAGGAATAGTTTTATAAATGAAGTGAAACGGGACGCGAACAAAAGTGGCAACTTGATTCTGTCATGCACTTCGCTTTTTTTTTTTCTAAAATCCTGTTCCGTAGCATACAATATGTTGGACATTTTAGGATTTGAAGTAATGCCGCTTTTCGTATTAACAAATCAACTTAGTAATATTATTATTTTTTGCATTTTGCATTAATGACAAATCAAAAAACGCATCAATTTTTTTCTCACGAAATTTGTTTTTGCATTCATTGAAGTCTCGTTACTATTACACGAAGATTTCCATTTCACTAAATAAGCTGCTGCACTCAGACACACAAAGATCAAATGCAAAAAGACGCGTGTTAATGAATTAAAGATATTTTTGGGAATATTGTTTTGAGAGTTATTGTTTTTTTTTGCGCGAGGCACTTGAGCCACGATGAAATGATTTGGAGAAACGTCTGAATTGCACAATCCATACTTGAATGCGGATCGAATAGATCAGAGGAAAAAACGTGTTTTTCCACGCACTTTCGACTTCGACCTCGACACCACGCACCGGGTAAAGAATTGGGAACAATTGAGGGACAAGTGACACAGTGATAAACTTTAAAAACTTGACCTTTTTCTCGATACAATCTCTGTAAAACGTTACCCTGGTAAATTTTATTGATCATTTCACAACAACGAATTTTCACTGTGTGCAAAGAAATCACATGTAAAGACAATTTAATCAAACATCTAATCTATAGTTACCCTTTAAACAATTTATATTTATCGGTAAAATTATCCAAAGAAAGTAAAAACACTGTTTAATACACTCGTCGACGAGAAGAGTGGGGTTTCTTTGTGTTTTTGTATACATGACGCCAAACACAATCGATTGTATGTGGCTGAATTGAATGTGTGGGAAAAAAAAAGGTAATAATAGAACAGAAAAAAAAAGAATATAGAAAAAAAGAAGATGGGTCCGAACGACCGGATCACACGCGAAGGAATTCACATCACTATTTCATCTATGATAAAAATAAAGGGATGCAGGCAATAAATTTTTTTTTATTAGAAGATCAAATTTAGATCTTTTCGTTAAAGAAGGAAGGTCTCCGTAAAAAAACATGAATATTCTATTGTATCAGTTTTTATTGTATTCGTAATATAATGTGACGAAAGTATGAATGAAACCCTTTTACCATATTGATGAAATCTAATTTGATTGGTTCTCACACACGTTTGTTTTTTCCGAGAATTACGATAGAAGTCATCATTAGCTAATCATTTTTACTGTTTAAAGACAAAATCTTGATGGTTTGTGTATTTTACTATTTAAAGACAAAATCTTGATGGTTTGTGTAACTTCAAAGATCCATTTTTTATCGTGTGTGTCTATCCCATACACAGCCATAGCAGTTTTTATCAGATAGTTGATAGAGATAGCTGATAGCGATATGTCGCACATAACGATAAATGTAAACATGGATCCAATCACGCGTTTTTTTTTCAAAAGGCGATAGTGAAAAAGAAAAAAAAATGAT